CGGCTTACCAGTGAAGGATGAAGACAACCTCTGCTCTCCTCACTGGCTTTTGTTTACATAGAAACAAAGTCCAGTGTCCTTTCCCACAAACTCTCCCGTGACAGGAGGAGGGGTGGCCCCAGAGCTCCGACCCAGGCTCTGAGCAGCACCTGTACCAGGACTCGCCCCCAGGTGCCGTGGAGCTCCTCAACAAGACTAGCAGGCTAATTTTTCAGGTGATAATTTTGTATGGCCCTTGAATAATGTTACAAATATCCAAATGGCCCGTGGCAGAAAACAGGTTCCCACCCCTGCTTTAGACAGACAAGGCAGTCTGTTTTCAAGGAGCTCACTTTCTTGCAAGAAGAGAGATAGCGAACGCTAAACAAACCTGTCATCTCAGATTGTGATAGGTACCAGCATGAAGATAAAATATGGCGAGTGCACTAAACACGTTCACAAAAGAAACTGCAGTTGTTTGCAGATGGGACTTGTATGGATTGGGCAGGGATCCTGGCCACTGGGCCTCAGGGCAGGGCTGTTCTCCCGTGACCAGGGTGGGGCTCACCCAACACAGTGATCCATGTGCCCTGGAAAGGCCCCCCGGGATGTCATGAGGCTCTAAACTCAACTCAGGAAAGAGGAATAAGGGTCCACCCAAAGTGCCCCACCCAAGGGTGGACCTGACCCGAGGTGCCCGGCTACACCACCCATCCTGGGCCTGCCAGGATGGGCCTCCCTCTCCCCAGACAGCCAGAGCCGCAACCGTGCTCCTTCCCCCTGGCTGCCTGCACCCCCTTGGGCAAACACTTACAAAGCACTTCCTCGAGGCGGGCACACGCTGGCTCCGGAACCTTCATGGTGAGCACACTTGTGTGGGGAGAAGACATTGAACGGCACTGGCTTCGTGACAGTTTGGAAGAGTGTCTAAAGGAGAAGCATGGGGGCCTGGAAGGACAGAACAGCAGTTTAGAAGTCACAAACAAGCCTGGCCGAGTGGCTCAGTGGTTGAGCATCGACCTTTGAACAGGCGAAGGCTGTGACCGAGCACAGAAGGAAAGGGGTAGGAAATCTGCTTGGGGTTGGGAGCTATCCCAGAGCTTGTGACATTTAAGCTGGAAACTCGTGGGATGGAGTAAGATTTAAGCAGCTGGAGAAGGGAGGGAAGACAATTTCAGGCTGAAAGCAAAGGCAGCCACAGGGGTGGGTGGGATGTGTGTAGACAGGAATGCGTGGGGCGTGTTGAGTGCCAGAGAGGGAGTGGCGGGAGATGGGGCTGGATTGTAAAAGGCTTGGCTAGACTGGAGGGGAGCCGCATCCTACTGGGCTGAGCTCTCAACCCCAACTCTTGGAGTCCCCACCTCTGACAGGAGGGGTAGCGAAGTGTGCAGAGCCTTGGTCTGGGAGTTAGACATACATCATGCCTTTTCTCCTGGCCTCAGTGTCCTTCTCTATAAAATGGGAATAGAATAATAATAATGTCAACTGCCATTCACTCTCCTAAGTGTGTTACAAATATTGTTGCACCAAATCCTTACAACAGATCTTAGAGGTAGTTTTATTATTATTCCCACTTCAGATGAGAAAACTGAGGCCCAGAAAGGTTAAGCACCCTGCCCTGGCTACATGCACATCTAGTAAGCAGCAGAGGTGGGGTTTGAACCCAGACATTCTGGCTGCAGAGTCCAAGTTCTTTACCACATTCCTAGCCGTGGTCATCCTGCCTGTCTCAGGGCTGCTTGGTCACTCAGCAAATATGTATGGAATATCTACTATGCGCCAGGCACTGTGTGGGGTGCTGAGGACGCAGCAGGGAACAGGACAGATAAGGTCCCTGTCACCGAGTGGCATTCTGATGGAGGAGACAGACAATGGACAAGTAAACATGAAGTGAGGTCATTTCGGACTGTGTATGCTCTATTGGGTAAATAAAACTTAAGAGATTGCTTTTAATGATAGGAACACAAGGGACTCACTGTGTGCCAAGAAGTGTTAGAAATTCCTGACATTTTGCCCTGGCTGGTTTGGCTCAGTGGATAGAGCATTGGCCTGCGGACTGAAGGGTCTCGGGTTTGATTCCGGCCAAGGGCACATCCCCCTGGTTGCAGGCTTGATCCCCAGTAGAGGGTGTGCAGGAGGCAGCCGATCAATGATTCTCTCTCATCATTGATGT